CCCAACACCTAATCAACTTCCGCTGAAAATTTGTGATAAACTTATTAGTCATGGAACGGTAGAATTGTCATACTTTTAATCTCTGGAGAAACAATTGAAAATAAAAGACTTTAACAAATTAAGGAATACAAACACGTTAATATTAAGGTGTTTAACACAAGCTTGAAACTGATCTTACTTATTAACCGAGGAAACTTTAAAGTTGTTCCTCAGCGTCATCTACATTACAACTGATAATCCAAGACTTACACATCCTCCGTAAATACCTTTTAATTAAAAAAATATTTTGTACAACTTTTGATATCATATCGTCCTGAGTAACTACTCAGTGAAATGTTATCACTGATCTTCATCATTTATTTACTTTTTATTTTATTTTAATGTAAGTAACTCTAGAAGTATTGTATGCATAAAAGGAGGACTGCATATTCGTCTTCATTTTTAACTTTCACGTTTAAAGGCCCTCCAGTTGCTCAGCGGTAAGTCTGAAAACTTATAACACTAAAAACTGAGTTGCGAGACCCGTGGTGGGCAAAGCACAGATAGCCCCATTACGAAGCTTTATACTTACCAACAAACACGTTTAAGTTATCTGTGATAAAATGAAAAATATGTATCTAATCAAAAATGAATATCACAAACAAGATAAAAACAAGAGGGAATCTTCAATAACCACGGCAATTGAAATTCTTTTAGGTAGGATTAGAGTAAATTAAACAATGAGACCTTTTTATTAGCTATATTTGTGTGTGCCAGCAATTACAAGCGTGGAGCGCGCGTATACCCGATTCGATTTTATTACTCATCAGGATCTCTACCAGCCTACCTCAAATTGAAATGACTTTAGGCAGGACTAGAGAAAATTAATCTATGAGACCTTGGGCGTAGTCAAATTATCAATCAAAAGTATTTGACCTCCTGAGTCCAAAAGTGTACTTAGATCTTAAATCGGTCAAGAGATGACGGAGCTATGAGCTAAACATTTGTATTTGTGGGAAAAAATGTATTATAACTATTTATTGTCCCAACTTTTAATTGCTTTTATAATAATAAACTCAGAATAGAAAATTAAATAATAATGCTAATAAAATGCTTTAACATTTAATAGCTATTATTTAATCTAAACTATTTAGTTTTTAATTGTCATGTAGATAATATTACTTCCTGGAATAAGAAGATAAACGACATATAAATATTGAACTGTAACATTGTGTCTGACTATATTAGTGTACTAAGAAAAAATATAATAGAAACACATGTTACATTAGCGTCTTAGAGAAACAAAAATTGTACAGACTACAAGCATATAATTCACATACGTTTAATGTTGTATAAAGCAGAAACACCTGTGAAAAACTGGGGAATATAAGTTTCCAACACTTTCAGCGTTTTGTTCATTTCTTCTAAAACTCCTACTACAGTGTAGTATTTCAATACATTCTTTTTGGCTCGTTCCAAAGCAGTCTTGCTGTTTAAAAGCCTGGAAAGATACCATTATTTTTAGGACTTCATAACTTTCTTTATCAGCACTTTAATAGAAACCTGAATGAAAATCGAAATTTTGATTCCTCAAAATAACATGAAAATGTTTTAAAACCAAAAACCTGTTATTTGTATCAATACAAAATTGTTTCTGTATAGGATGAGATTATGGAATACCTACACACGTCTTGAGTTCCTTGCATAGTACTGGAGCTACTTTTCTGCTGCAGGTCAGATTTGTTACACCTGTTGTTCATTTTATTGTAAAATGCTAATAAATTAAATAAGAAGAGAATAAGACTTTCTTATCACCAGAAACTTATTGAGGCTGAAACAATGGCCGTGTTTATTACTGATACATGTTCCAAAGCAGACCAATCTATATAGCATGCTCAAATTTTTGTTGCATCTTCAAAGCTAAAAACATACACATGAACCTTATTATACAGGGTGGCCCAAAATTACCTTTCCTATTTTAAAATATAATGAATAACCAACTAAAGGAATACAACCATGCAGTTTTCAAAAATTTTATACCTCAACCTAAACAGTCTTCATGTTGTTCTTGTTTTCATCCAAAAGAGTAATGTTCCCAGTAAAATGGCACTCGTACAAGAAAAGGCTCAATACAGACGACAGAACCTGAAAATAGTATGGGGGTATGTTAACGATATAGTATATCGCATATCTATAGCAAACATCACGGAGCTAAAAACCAGGATAACGGACGTCATCGTTATTATAACTATGGACATTTTGGAGCGAACGTGAACTGAAATCAAATTTCGGTTAGACGTGCTGAGAGCCACTAATAGCGCACACGTACAAGTCTACTTACATCTCAATAAAAACTGTTTGCGTTTCGCTACAAGATATTGAAAATTCAATGGTTGTATTTCCTTAGCTACTTAATTATTGAATTTTAAAATAGGAAGCTAATTTTGGACCACCCTGTATTTCACTTGTTAGATAAAGAAATTTAATGTATGCGAAAAGTTTTAGATACTTTCATTTATATGTATAGTTAAATGAGTTGGATCTACTTACGTGCACTCCTCTTCATGACCACAGAAGTAAGGTATGGCAAGGTCGTAAGGCTGTCCGGTTATAAAGGTACATTCTGGATCATGTGTAAGCACACACTGTTCAAAATCCTTTTAAAAACGAGGTAAAAAACAGTCAAAATGTACAAGCTGTAACAAACTTTTCAACAGCATACTTAGGCATTGGCCTTTGAAACATGCTTTTTTATTACTATGTTTCAAAACTTTCGACTTTTAGCCTATTCTAAAAGCTACAGTGTTTTTTGTACGATCAATAAATAGATTATCATTTATAGAACTTATTAAAATGGTCTTATCGTCGTTATTTCAGGCTAAATAGTTGAACAGCGTTACTATTCGTTTCATTCCCACCCACCCGTGGCTCAGCGGTAAGTTTGGGGCTTACAACACTAAAAGTCGGGTTTAGATACCCGAGGTTGGCACAGCACAAGTAGCCCATTGTTTAGCTTTGGGCTTACTAACAAACCCATTTCATTTCCAAAATGAAATTTTTTAGATGCCTAATGCAATGTACTATATAAATATTTACATAAGACATTATAATCTAAGCTCCATTAATTGTAAATGAAGGTGATAGATTTCTAAATGATTTCATAATAAATATTAAAGCTAAATATAGAAAAACGTAGATGGCTTTACTTCGGTTACGTTTTTTTTTTTCTCTCTCTCTGCTAGAATTTACGTGAGTAGAAATCCATCATTTTT